AGAAAAAGTGGCTGGTTCTTCTGAAGTCAACTTTGACCTGGGACAACTCTAAGAAATGGTTACGTAGTCACTGAGAGGTAACAGCCTGTAGAAACATTTAATTTCAGAGCCAAGCTGAGTTTGTATGTCAATTACAACACTTAGATGACAAGGCAAGAATGTAAACAATGGGAAAGGATGAAAAGAATAAAAGCCCTAATAGCTACAACATCAGCCCAATTCTAAAGGGGGGTCTTACATGATATATCCAAGTAATATTTAATTCTAAATTGCAGGTTAGTATAGTTCATATGGGTATTTGAAATTGAATGCAAGTATCTGTCTTTTGAGCATATTATCTTCTTATATTACCGTTGAAGCAATTTTGCCCTCCACAACCTAACCTTCGATGTGAACATGTGGAAAAATGCTAACTAGGAATCCTCATGCATTTTGGTCCCAAGCTCCCCTGATTAATCAAGTTAGGGAATCTGCTTCTTCATTACATACTCTTAGGCATTAATTACTCCTTTTGACTTTTAGACAAGACATGCCTTTCTTATTACCAACACCAGTGATGGTCACTGTGTCTAAAGAATTCATTCGGGGAGCAGGTCGCCCCCCCCCCCAAAGTCAGGCTGGACTGGGAGCTGACAGGCCAAGGTGGTCAACTGTATGATTAGTGTATTTGCTTGAGTGTTATAAGAAGTACACGGAGCACGCATCTGGGTTATAAAAGCCCTTTTATAAAGCCATTTTTAAACAAAACAAAAAAAAGTTTACAAAAGAAAAAAAAGATACAGAAAAAGAATAACTTGCTTCATATGTCCCAAAAAGAGAAAAAAATAAAGGGGACAATGCCAACATGCTCAACAATAAAGGGTTCTCTTTCTTATTTTTTAATACAAAATACAAGCAAAGGATACACATACTCAAAACAGAGCTCAGGAGCAGACACGCAGTCCTGGAGACCCTTCAATAAAAGAAAGCAGGAGTTTGTTTTTTCTTGGTCTATGCAGATACATACAGAGACTGGGATATGTAAAAATTAAGGATCACAAAAGACCATCACACAAGTCTACCAATGCATGTTGCATCTATAATTCACGAACATGGTCAACAAAATCATGTTCACTTCAACCTCATTTCATTTAAATTAAAAAAAAAAATCTTTTAAATAAAGTGGTTACATTCAAACTTTAACTTCCTTAAGTACCATGCTGCAGATTTCAGCACTGTTAAGGTATTGCAAGAATGCCCAACCGTCAGGTGTCTGATCATGTATCTATAGCAACATTGCAATATTAAGAAAGGGATGCCCCCGTCTCGGCCCATGGACTGATGAAATACATTTAAACAGGTTCCTCTCAATAACCCTTCCTGCTCAGAAGGTAAAAGATTCAGAACTAAAATCAAGGAAGACTGGGAGTTTTAGAGCTGGCAAAATGAAGTCTGAAAGGTGAATGGAGGCGAACAATTACTGAGAACTTGGCTGCTGCTTAACCTGGCAAGTCTGGAAGTCTTTCCTTAAATCTTGCAGGGATTAGATGCGTAAGGTTTGCTGCAACATGTTCATGGTAAACAAACTAGGTAGAGCTCTTATTTACAAATCTTGTAACAAATACTTCTGGAGGAAAAGAAGAAAAGAATTCACTAATTTCCAGAAGACAAAAGTTTTAATCGCCAGACATATACAAACACACACTCACACACACACCCACACAATACTTCAGGGGTTTTTATACATGTTATTTAGGGCATAAGCTGAGTACTCTACCCCTACACCCCATTGAAAAAGGAACAACGAAAAAAACCACCCCAATTTTACCCTCCCCCCATAATCTAGAAAACCCTCCCTTCACCCCTGATGTACAAAGTGTATGCACAATGGTGGCATTCCACCAGCCACACAAAGCATGCTCAAACAGATGTCACCCGCTCACGCACTCCATTGGCATGGCAACAGGCAGGTTTACGGGACTCTTCCCAATAGTGGTTAATACACAGTCAGCACCACTGTGAATTTTGTGAATTAGGCTTTGAAAGAAAGTGTTAACTTAGCGATTTGGGATTCAGAAAGTCATTTTGTATCAAGTGTATCCCAAGACGAGGGGAGAATAGGTTGCAGACTAAAACTTTGCTATAGGTAGCCTGATGTCCCAATATTCAAACTAACTCCCTTTTCAAATAAACCCAGCTCTATGAACACAGAAAAAGACAAATTTTCTAACCTCGAGAGCATACGGCTTGTTTTATTCTCCCCCTCCCTTGGCAGGGAACATTTATTACTTGTTCCTCTTAAGTATCTGTCTGAATGCCATTAAAGACCAGAGGCCAGGTTCTGTCCTTCCCAAATGCCCAAGGTGACAGTTTCTTCACAGCGCAGCTACTGGCGATGCAGGAACAGAAAGAACTATTCAAATCAAAACTCCCACTCTTTAGAACAACAACGGCCACATGATCTTTTATAAAGCTTTCCCTGTTGCTCCTGGTAGATTCTGTTCTTGCCTTACTACTACTCTCAAAGCATCTCCTAAACTGGTTTAGAGAAAAGCAGTTCCTTCTTCCAACCAGTACCCTTAAAATCCACCTGTTACTTGAATGTTCCTGGATAAAAGAAGAAAAGTTAAAAAAAAAAAAAAAAAAAAAAAAAAAAAAAAAAAAAAAAAAAAAAAAAAAAAAAAGCTCAAGTTCAGTCTGGCTGACCATTTCCAGAAGTGTCAAAAACTCTACTGGATCATAACCTCAGATTCCACTCTTCATTAGCTACCTGTAAGAAAATGCTATTTCAACCAGTGCCAAGAGTAAGTGCTGAACTGAAGACTGAAATGGGGCAAACCGGGTACTGTGAAAAACAAACAAACAAACAAACAAAAAATCAGTATCCAAGCTCCCCTGTGGGAAGTCGGATTAAGTCTTCCACTGTTACCTCCCTAAAGGAGGACACACCCACTCATTTCACTTCATGGACTCCACCGGCAGTGGGGATATGAAAGGGAGAGAGGTTTCAAAAAGCAGGACAAATCTACCATCACCGAAACTGAAGTGTCATCTCTGGGCCCGCTCCATTGATTCCAATCGGAGGTGGGGAGGGATGAAAACAGCAGCACGTCACGGGTTTAAGAAGATGGAAGCCGCCCATTTCTAGCTGTGTCTGTCGGGGAGGGAAGTCTGGAAATTAAGGGTCTTAAGAACTAGAATGTAGTGTCAGCACAGCTGCCGAAATCCATGCTCCAGAGGTAAACCTAACAGAGCGAACAGAATTCAGGTAATGGCAAACAAGCACCTTCCAAGTGTACGTCCCACTTCCTGAGCACTGCAAACGAGACCCTGAACGACGCCACGGCCACTTCGCCACAGGCGCGCTAGAGGGAAACACAGGGGGTTAGTCAAGGGTGGTGCCAACGGCCAGTCACTAACAGCTTCTAGCTTGTCCTGACATCGCCATCAAACCTGACTATTGAGCACCTGTTTCCAGTTGAGCCACCACAGTCGTCCTCCTATACGCATGCATGATTTGAAGGGAGGGCTAGAGCGTTTTCAAATCATCGATAAAAAGCGGAGAGAACAAAGGTCATTCAGAGCCTGTCTCACTTGGGGACACAGACCCTTTTGTCTAGTTCATTAGAAATATAGAAGACATTTTCAATCTCATCAATTAATTTTTAAAAAAGGGATCCCAACCAAATGCACACAAATAACCTAGAAGTCAGGATTACCTCTAAAGAATGAGCGTATATCACAGAGATGTTAGTGCAGATTAATATATAAAGAGACTGTGTTACATAAAATACAGAGGCTAAAGTTTTAAAAGACCCCCCCCCGCACCCCAATCTTCACGAAACATAACCTAAGAAAAGTCCAAATGTTACTAGGAATGTAGGACTTAAAGTTATAAACCCCTAAAAACAGAAGTGCATGGTGGAAACACTGATAGGTCTTTTACTGTATGAACACAAACCTTCTTGTTAAAATTGGCTACCTGAACAAACCCACTAAACCAAATAGAATAATCTTTAACACCCTCATTACAAAGTTCACAACTATAAAGTTAACCATCGTGGAAGGTAATAATCCAACCGCTACTTAGGTTCAAGTTTTGCATTTTTGGCCAAGTACTAAAATCTCCAAATCCATTCTTTAACACACGCAGTGCCCGGCAGTGAAATGACTCTGCCACTGGGCGCTATTTTAAAAAGTCACAGAGGAAGGATAGTCCTTAAAGTGTCTTAAAAATCAGAGTAAAAATATTCCTTAAATAACCTTTTGTCCTAGAACATCTGCAAGAAAGCCACGTCGTCTGAGAGAAAAACATGCTCTAACTTAAAAGATAGAAGGAAAACCGCATAGGATATATCGAAGCAGCAAACCTAGATAAGAAGGCAGAGGTTAAACCTCAACCATGTTTTCAACTTAGTAGCACACTAAGACCCCTAAACCTTGCTCCCTTTAGCTCATGGTATCAGGATGCAGAGGATCCAACCTACGGACCCCTGTCCTGACTGCTTTCATAAGGCATGTAAAGTCTATTCTCGGTGCACACAGGCCTCCTAAACACATGGTTTCTCTAGCCCTGAGCCCCTTCCACTTTGGCTTTACACAAAAGGGGCACCAGCAGAAAGACAAAAGCAAATCAAAGAGTGTGGGAGCAGCATTTAACAGACTCCCAATCAAGCAGGGAATATGAAGTGAAGAAAGGAGCCAGGAGAAATCAGAGCTGGCAGGCTCTCGGGCGGGTAAGCAGTGGTACCCCATGTAGTAGCGGGAAGCCCAGAGATGAGCTTCATGTGTCTGCGGAGAAATGGGAAGGCAGGTGTATGAAGAGAAAAATGTTCTTTCCCCAAATAAAAACAGAGCATGGTTCATGGGATCTGAATGCACACTTACGGCATAAAAGAATTTCAATTTTCGGTTTTCATAAAGGAAAAATCTCAAGTCTCTGTGATTGAGTTTCACATTAATTGGTACTTTATTTGCTTAAAACCTAAACATTGTCAGTTAAGAAGAAATCCACTCTGGTGTATAGATCTTGCCATTTAAATTCTAGGTTTGTTTTTGTTTTTTGTGGGGTTTTTTGATCCTTGGTAAAATTTTATCCAAGAAACAGAATAGATACATATATATTTAAAAACATGAACCACTAGAGAATGAAATAGGAAATCAAGAGTGACTTAAGTTTTGGTGGCCCTTGTGTTTTTTTGTTTGCTTTTTTTTTTTTTTTTAAAGTTCCTGAAAGACTGTAGCAGGGTAAAAGGATCACTGGCTCCCGGTCTCTTTGAGATAACAGGTGACGGAATTAAACAAAACAAAACAAAACAAAACAAAACAAACCCACCCCCTCACACAAGGTCAGGTGACCCCATTCCCTGCCCTGCTCCCTCGGTAAAAAATACGAATACTTTTAGTAACAATTCAGAATTCAGCATTCAGCTTTATCTCCTACCTGCCCCATCAGTGGAAGTGTAACATCATGATTTTTTGTAGACATCTATACTTGTGTATATAGACATATAAACTTGTATTAGATGACAACTGATTTTTTTAAGTCCAGGTAGAGAAAGAAGCAATCATTTTTAACTAAACCCCTTCTATGTTTTTTGATTAGGGTTCAACTTGCTACCGTTTAGCAAAAAGCAAAATTTCCATAGCGTTCACCTCAAATCTTATTGCTTTACAACTGTGGTATACCTTCCATTAAAAATAAAAAGATGAAGCAGTCAATCCAGTGATTACTTTGACATGGCTTTCATTAGGAAGGGGTGGGAAAGAGGGGTGACGGCAAAGAAAAGACCAAAAGACAAAAAAGTAAATTAAACATACAATGGTTTTCTTGGAAAAAAGAGAGAGAGAGAGAGAGAGAAAGACAGAGAATGTTATTTTCAAGAAAAGGGAAAAAGCATTGAAAGCCCATGAGTCAAGCCATAGCCAAAACCATGTTCTATCTTAAGTAAGTTTTTTTTCCCCCTTTTTCTTTTTTCTTTTTTTTTTTCTCTTTTTTTTTTTAATAAAATCTCTCCCCAAACCATCATCACTTTTTTAATCCTCCCCAGACTGGGCTTCATCTTCAGACCCTTCATCCCCAGATTTCTCAGGTGGAGGGCTGGCAGAGGGTTTCTTTTCTGGAGGGCTTTCTGGTTCCTCGTCTTCTTCTTTGGGAGAAGGAGTCTTTTCCTTTGATGCCTTGGAAGCTGTGGGGCGACCCACCTTCCCTTTGCCTTTCACAGGGCTTGGAGTCACTGAAAAGAAAACAAATACCAATTTGGGGAAGGGAAGAGAAGAGAAGAGAAGAAAAGGTCTTTAATAAAAATCAGCCATAAACAAAACTAGAAGAATAAAATCTATCAAGACAACATCCTAACTGACTAAAAAAATCGAGGTGGGCACTGGTTCCCAATCACTTTTGCCAACACCGTGGTGTTATGTTTTCAGTAACGTTTCTAATAAAGAAACAGGATGCTACAGAAACTGCACACTATCCTTAGTGGTTTGTGAAATGAAAAGTTGTTTCTGATAAAGGTTTTGTTTAAAAAGTGGGTCGGGGGGCGCCTGGGTGGTGCAGTCGGTTAAGCGTCCGACTTCAGCCAGGTCACGATCTCGCGGTCTGTGAGTTCGAGCCCCGCGTCAGGCTCTGGGCTGATGGCTCAGAGCCTGGAGCCTGTTTCTGATTCTGTGTCTCTCTCTCTCTGCCCCTCCCCCGTCCATGCTCTGTCTCTCTCTGTCCCAAAAAATAAATAAACATTGAAAAAAAAAATTAAAAAAAAAAAAAAATAAAAAGTGGGTCGGGGATGGGGTGCCTGGGTGGCTCAGTTGGCTGGGCATCTGACTCTCAATTTCAGCTCGGGTTGTGATCCCCGGGTTGTAGGATGGATGGAGCCTTGAACTGAGCTCCATGCTGAGCAAGGAGCCTACTTTAAGATTCTCTCTCTCTCTCTCTCTCTCTCCTTCTGCCCCTCTCCCCTGCTTGTGCACTCTCTCTCAAATTAAAAAAAAAGGGGGGGAGGTCAAGAAGAATGGATACAACAATGTGAGTGGAAACTAAAGCCATCAAATTCTTAAAAAAATTTTCTAAGGATGTATCATTTTATTATTTTTAAAGAAAAAATTTTAAGTTTTATTTATTTTGCGACAGAGATGTGACCTGAGTCAAAGTTGGCCACTTAACTGACTGAGCCACCCAGGCGCCCCGATTTTAAGTAAATTCTACACCCAAAGTGGGGTTTGAACTCATGACTGAGATAAGAGCCCATGCTCTACCAACTGAGCCAGCCAGGCGCTCTCATCAAATAACATACCTTTTGACAGTTCCAGGATTCCTCTTTTTTTTTTTTTTAAATGCTTATTTATTTTTGAGAGAAAGTGAATGGAGGAGGGGCATAGAGAGAGGGAGACAGAGAATCCCAAGCAGGCCCACATCGTCAGTGCAGAGCCCCACATAGGGCTCGAACTCACAAACCGTGGGATCATGACCTGAGCATCCTGATTCAAAACTGAGATGGATGCTTAACCAACTGAGCCACCCACGTGCCCCAGACCGTTCCACAATTCCTAATGGTAAGAAGTGGTAAGTGAAAAAAATGTAAAAATCACCAGTTCTATTTGCCAGAAAAAACAAAGCAAATCGAACTTTGAGTTAAATAACAAAGTAGCTATGAAAGGGGAATATCTGGCAGAAACCACAAGGGCTCAAAGAAACCGAATCCATGTTGCCAAGTGTGGTTTCGTTAGGCTAGCACAAAGGACCGTGCACGGATCAGAACAGAGAACTGAAATAGGATTACAGGTGTGCATTTTCACAATTTCAAGTCTTTACTAGCTGCTGGGATTGTGATGTCGGTGAGAAAAAAGAGCAGGAACAGCTATCCTGATGCAACGTTTCCAGCACTGTGCCTGACACGAACAGGTGGCTGCCAAAACTTGCCACGGAAGGCAGGAGCTGAAGAACAGGGCTGAGCCGCCAGACTCTTGCAGGGGCTAGAGTCTTATTAATAATCAAATAAGGGATACTTCCAACTGTGGAAGACGGTCCTTTCAGAATTCCTTCATTCTTGTTAGGCATGTGGCCACTGCCAACCCCTAATGAAGAATTTCTGTAGAGAAAAGTGTATTGGTTCTTGAAACTTTTCAAAGCGGCAATTTAATTTCACTTCTGCACCACTCACCTGTAGCCTTTAGCCTGGGTTTGGGCATTTTCTTTTCTTTTCTCTCAGGTTTGGACTTCTTAACCATCTTTTTGTTTTTCTTTTTTGAACTGCCATAGTCACTATCATCATCATCTTCCATGAGGAAATCTTCATCGCTGCCGGAATCTTCTGAGAGGAAAGAAGAATTTCAACGTCCAGCTTAACGTACACATCCTTCCAAGTGAACAAAGGGAGACCGTGCTAGGCACGACTGGAGGACGGGATCTGGGAAATAAACACTCGGATTCTGCCGGCAGCTGTGCTACCCATTTGGCTGGAGTCGTCGTCAGCCCCACGTGTACAGCGGGCTTAGCCCGCACACGCAGGTGACGCCACTGACTTGTTTGAAGAGTCGGTTGAGAACGGGAACAGATACCATTTAATCTGAATAAAAACCGCAGCCACCAAATAACTTTTGGTAGTTCCATCACCCCCCTGTAGTACTGGGGAGACCGGGGAAATGAAACGGCACCAGTTGGGTGTGTGCTGGTCCAACTATGAACCAATGAAACAAGAAAGCTAAACACAAAGCAAAAATACACAGAATCAATAAAGCTGAGTCATGTGTGAAGCATCTAGATTCTGCTATGAATGCTTTTGCTGGGGGACGAGGTCTACCCCTTCCACTCCCAGGCCGAAATGCCAATCCTAATCACAACACCCACCGTGTAACTGCTGTTCTAACAAGCTCTCATTCAGTATTTGAGTTCAAACGATGGACATCATAATCAAAGAGAGTCTGTGAACCTCAAAAGTATCAGCAGGTATGAGAAACAGTCATCTCTTCTAACAGCGAGGATCTAATTTAAGGGACCGGCTGCCATGTTTAGTATCCACGACAACCCAGAAGCCATCGAGGTCACAAAGTACAGTCATGACCAAAGTAACAAGCCAAGTCTACATACTCTCTTGGAACGGTGCCTCATCTTCCTCTTCTTGCTCTTCTTCGCTGCCCACGTCCTCCATGAGCATCTCTCTCTGTTTGGAAGCTGCTTTAGAGGCTGCCTGCCGTTGCTGGCGCACATTTTTATGATCTTCTTTTTCATCTTCACTGTCCTCTGTAATACCGAAGTTATAATGCAACAATCGAAGAGTTGTGCATTTATCTGACAGCTGACCAGAAAAGCCAGCATGAGCTATAACCTTCAGCTTTATTTCACTCAAAAAGGGTAAATTCTATCCCTAAAAACTCCTACAAAATATACAAAAGAGGAGCTAAAATTCAAAGCACGAACTTGAAAAATATCATGTACTCATTAGTACATAGAAAATAACTTAGGAGGGGCACCTGGGTGGCTCGGTTGGTTGAGCATCTGACTTCAGCTAAGGTCATGATTTTGTGGTTCATGAGTTCGAGCCTCACGTCAGGCTCTGTGCCAACAGCTTACAGCCTAGAGCCCGCTTCAGATTCTGGGTCTCCCTCTCTCTTGGCCCCTCCCTTGCTTGTACTCTCTCTCCCTCTCAAAAATAAATATACATTAAAAAAAAAAAAAGAAAAGAACTGAAGCATGTAGTTTTAAGTAACAATAAAGCTGAATTTAGGTGTGAACATCTACTTTAAACTCGTATCATTGTGTTGCCCTAAAATTATCAATTACATTTCAATCTATGTTCAGTTTTTATTTTTATTTAAAAAAAATTTTTTTTAATGTTTATTTATTCTTGAGAGAGAGAGAGAGTGAGAGAGAGAGAGAGGGAGAGACAGACAGACTGAGCGTGAGCAGGGGAGGGGCAGAGAGTGGGAGAAACAGAATCTGAAGCAGGCTCCAGGCTCTGAGCTGTCAGCACAGAGCCCGACGCGGGGCTCGAACTCACAGGCCGCGAGATCATGACCTGAGCCGAAGTCAGACGCTCAACCGACTGAGCCACCCAGGTGCCCCTATGTTCACAGTTTTTAGAAACTAAAGTTAGAAAAATATTTTATTTTTTTTTAAGGTTTATACATTTTTCAGAGACAGAGAGAAAAAGCATGAGTGGGGGAGGGGCAGAGAGAGACACACACACAAAGAATGTGAAGCAAGTTCCAGGCCCTGAGCTGTCAGCACAGAGCCCCACACAGGGCTCGAACTCATAAACTGCGAGATCATGACCTGAGCCAAAGTCAGACGCCCAACGGACTGAGCCACCGAGGCACCCCAGAAAAATATTTTTAAATAGAAGAGGGGAAGACTCCCGAGGATAATTATTCTAAGATACAAAATCTATTTCTTTTCAACTTAGGCAGTCAGATAACACACTTGGAAAGGAACGAAAGCCAATAGCTCAGTGGAGTGCATGCAGTGGGACTGTCGGCCCTCCACGTATTAGCCAACAGCAATCCTATTTAGAGGGACATCCAGGAAAGCAAAAGCATGGGAATGTAGGTCAAAACTAAAGTGGTTGGGGGCAGTATAGAATAAACCCTCAGTTCTTAGGAGAGTTAAATTTGGAAAAATAACAGCAAGTAATCAGGATCTTACATTGTATTTGGCCATGGGGTCTCTATTAATTCTTTCAAGTTAAAACTCTTACCCCAACAGCCTGCTCTGTGGCTACCGTTTCAAAGGACTACTTCCCGAGCTAAAGTAAGGGCAAAACTATCTTCTGTCTGCTCTTCACTCTAGAGTTCCTCGCCACATGCCTTAGATCTGTCACTTCCTATTATACACACTCTTTAAAATCTATTCAGTTTGATGGCTGTTATTTGTTTATGCAAATAGTTTTCAGTGTTGATTATGCATTAGAATAATCTGTAAATATTTTTAAAAAACAAAGCCCCAATGTCCCACCGTGACCTACTGCATCAGAAATCCTGGGTGGATTTCTGTAATAAGCGTGTTTAAAAAACCCTCACGGCAACTGCAATAAGTCACCAGCACTGAGCTCTTCAAAGATGCAAACCTCTTTGTCATGTCAGTATTTATGACAGCGCCTGGCATTATTATAAAACTGCTATTAAAATGTCCAGTGAATAAAGACATCAGTCAATCCACCTACTACACTAAAAATTGTTTCCTACCTGCTGAGTGAGAATCATCCTTCTTGGTCTTCACATCTTTTTCTTCGGAGTCCTCACTGTAAAGGGAAGCAGGGAGAAAGTTTAAAAGTCTTAGGTCAAAATCTAAGTGAGCACACATCTCTGGTATCTCCGACAGGGGAAGAACTTGAAGAATACCTCTTTTATGGATGAAATATTCAAAGAACATTTAATAATAAAAAATTCTCTGTTGTCAGAGGCAAAGTATAAAAATACTAAAAATAAATTACACAATGTATGAATGGCGGGAAAGTAGGCAAATAAATTTGGATGGCACCAAATATAGGCACAGAAAACCCCTAAAACACAATTATTGAAGGAAACTGGAGTGCAGTTGTGTAAATTACAATATCCCTAAAAAATTATCTAAAACAAAATGAAAATAAATCAACTAATTATCTCCGTAGATTTTTCTTGCCTCCAATATTTCTATACATCAGAAACATCAACACACAGATCTGCCCTGTATCATGGAGAGAATAAGAGCACTCAAATCACTGCAAAGTAAAATAAGAAAAAAGTGCTTCAAGGTTCCAAGGAAAGTTATATAAAACAATTTAAGTCACAAAGATGCACGTTTTATGTCCTCAAAAATCTTAATTCAGGAATCTGGGTTCTCGTGTCCTGTCTTTGTCATTAATCAGTTGTATGGTCTCAGGCAAATCACTTGGTACTCAGTCTTCAGTGCTCTGACTTTATGACTCTATGAGAAATTCTGATAAACAAAAAAAGAAACACCCAACATAAAAACTGCCTTCACAGCTTTTTCAAACAGCAGGTCTTGTAAATCTCTTCTGGTATTTCCTATGATCTAGACCACACTCAAATGACAAACTACCAAACTCAAGATTCCCGAAAAAAAGAGAAAAACCAACCCTATTTCTTTACTAAGCAATGTGATCCAAGATACACCGTAATGCCGAAACCTGAGACCATTCTGTATGTTTTTATGCAAAGTAAGCATTTAATTCACAAGTTACAATAACAAAGAACGATAGTTTTCTCTAGTTCTTTTATTATTGGGTTTATAGAGACCATTAATCCTGGAGTCCCATTACAATAAAGTCAAGTGAAAGCCGAACTTTTACAAGTAGAGATCAATAGAAAACTCAAGACAACAATGGTCTGAGGGAATAAACTTTACAAGGCACTTAGTAGAAATGGCAATAAAAACTGTATCTCCACCATTCCCGACACTTAGGAAAGAAATAAAACCAAGCAATTAGAACAAGGGAAAGTTTAGGCTAGCTATTAATTGTATCGATGAGACACTATAGAACAGGTTGCAGGCCACAAACAAATCCATTCCTAAGAGAAATATAAAAAATGAACATAATGGAAGGGAATCTAAGTTGGGCTGCTACAGAAAACTGGATTAAAGATATACTACAAAACTATGGAAGACTTGTCTCCCCACAGCACAGTGTTGTCTTATTTTTCCTCAAAACCACATTTCTGAAATTTTCCAGTAAAGAAAATACTGGAGGTAAATATTGTCATTTCTACAAATTTAGCATTCTATGAATTCAGAACGGAAAGACTTTTGTGTGGGGCTTTATTTTACAAGACTTTAGTATCTGAAGGTAAATACCTTAGAAGAACTGACGAGAAAGATTGTATTTCTTTGAACTGCTCTGACGTAATATATTTGGAAGCAGTACAGCCCAATGGTGAAAACATGGTCTTTGGAGGCCAACAGACATGGTTCCAAAACCTGCTGGTCCATTTGCTGGATAACCTCGGATAAATCACTGACCCTGTCTCTAAGCTAGCAGTACCTTAATACAGGTGTTGTGAGAATTAAATGATAATGAATATAAATTATAAATTAGCACATAAGAGAGACTGGCAAAGAATCATCCACGGTAGCTATCACCATTATCGCCATCACCACCGTCATTAAGGTCTTAAAATTATGCTACATGGAGTATGATGAGAGTGTGTAGGTCTGTGACAGCAGAGGCAAAAATTACAATATCCTGGTCTCAGAAGGCAAGTATAGTTAAAATCACAACTCCTCTACTGCCCCACAAATGATGAAATTATCTGAACAAAGGAGGATTATAGATAGCAAAACTCAGCAGTCTATACAAGTGAAGATTCTATAAGCTTTAGTTATGATTCTGCCAGTGATGTGTGACTCAACGGGAAAGGCCACTCGTTCTTTGCTATCACTACAATGAAAATGTCAATACTAACCTTAGGTAACAAATTACATACTTAAACAATCTTTCTGCTTATGTTCAGAGGTTTGAGGTAGCAACAAAAGCATTCTTGGAGATCACCTTGGATTCTAGGTTGAGTCTAAGTAAGCCTCATGACCTTAAAGAGGCTAACCCCTAGACTCAAGAAGCACTGCCTGAGATAATAAGAAATATGCAAAACAATATTAAGTAGACAATAAGCACTTTCCCAAAGTAAATGGAGATTCCACCAATTTAGAGATCAGAGACCACCCTCAAGGCCAAGTGGGAACAGGGTAAGCAGGAACAGATTAACAATGCCTCTTACCTATCTTCCTGTGAATTCTTTCCAGATCGCCTCTTATTTTTAGCTTCTCGGGGAGATGACCGAATTTTCTTAGCTGGAGGCCCTGAATCTCTTCCATAATCTTCATCTAAACAGAGCATTTTTCAAATTCAAATATTATGATTTTTACATGTATAAATTACCACTATTTATGGAAATAAGTATCTCTAATGCTATTTACACGGTGAGGGGGCAGCAGGATTTCCCACAAAATTTTTTCTTTTTTAAAATTTTTCAGTGTTTATTTCTGAGAGAGAGAGAGAGAGACACAGCGTGCATGAGGTAGGGACAGAGAGAGAGGAGACACAGAATTCAAAGTGGGCTCCAGGCTCTTGAGTTGTCAGCACAGAGCCTGGTGCAGAGTTTGAACCGACAAAACCATGAGATCATAACCTGAGCCCAAGTTGGCCGCTTAACCGACTGAGCCACCCTGGCGCCCCTCAATTTTCTTTCATTTTTAAAAAATAAATTCTTTCCTATATCAATCCCTTCTAATCTCATGTGTGTATTTTAATATACCCATACATAGCCAAGTATCTCTTATCATTTTATATCCTACCCTTTTAATTTCTTAAAGATATTCCCATGTTTCAACATCTTCATATTTACTTGAAAACCATTACGGTAATAAATACAAGCATTTCAGAATGTAAAGACCCCCACAATTCTATAATCCTAACACAATTACTGTTATCAAGTAGATTACTTTTGAACTGAAGTATTAAATGGAGCATACTCTGACACTTGAGGAAAATACTTCCAATTTCAAAAGTCCTATAGAACTTAAGAAAATTAACCAATCTTAAAAATGGGTTATGTTTACTATACCATTTTATATAATAGTGGAGATCTGGAAGTACTCAGGAGCTTCAGCAATTATTAAATGGATGGATACATTATAAATTCCATTATGGAATATCACACAACCATTAATAGTAATTTCTCAAATAACTTTTCATAATAGGAGAAAGATACACACAAATAGGAGTAGGAGAGAACCCAAAATTCTATAGCAAGACTTCCAACTATGTTTTTAAAAGGAAAGACAGACACAGGCTTTTTTTGCAAAAGGTTAAAATGGCCATTTGCCAGCTAAGGGGCCTTGAATAAGATCCCTCCCTCAGTTTCCTTATCTGTAAAATGGAAACAATAATAGTATATTCCATTTTAATAGGATTGCTCTACTAAGGATTAAATGAATACATGCAAATATTTAGCAGCATTTAATAAATGTTAGAATTACTTCTGGGAGGTTGGATTGTACGTTATTACTCTTTTTCACATTTCTGCATCTTCTAAGTTTTCCCAAAGTACACACATTGTCTTTATAAAGTGAAATTCGATTTAAAAAAGGCAGAAAGAATAGCAAATGCGTCTGGAAAATAATGAGATTAAGGACATACTGTAAGAAAACATTACTGCGTGTTGAAGCTGACTCCAAAACCAGTTAAGAAAAAAGTTATCCAAGTATTTATTATCAATGATCTACTAAGGAAAAGTAAAAATCCATGCAAGTTCAACTTCTGTTTTGGGTGACACTAATCCCGACATAATTTACATATAGTTTAAAAATAAAAAAAGATAAAACTTATTCTAAAAGCATGATAAAACAGTACACTGAGTTAGCAATTCTTTCAATATTAGTTGGTCCAACTTACAATTTATTGAAATCACGAAACTTACCAGCATCATCAGATTCCTGAAACTGTGAATAATCAACCACCTTTCTATTTCTGTAGAAAGAAGAGACTCTAATGAAGATCATTCTCCTAAGATATCAGAACACTTGTTTCTGTTTAAAAACAAAATTAGAACTCGCTCTGTGAAACCATTCGACAAGCCCCACCTCCGTCAAAAAGCTTTTCCATGTTGTTATGAAAAGTGTAGTTCGGAAGCATTTAAAACTACAATTCTCCGACTGCTCATCTCAGTGATAGCTCAAATACTACTCTTTCCCACAAAACCTCCCACTTCCCAAACACACATGACACAGCAAAATGCGCCAAACTACCATATTATTCATTACACAGAGGTGTCACATGTGCATCAACAAAAACCGTAAATATTTTTTACACTTTTATGCTTACTGATATGTACACATACACGTGTATACCTGATAAAGTTATTACTGAGTTTTTTTCAAGGCAAAGTGATTTTTAAATATAATGGTTAATGTTATAACATACAAATTATGACGACAGTATATTAAGCCTTACAAAGAAGAAAAAAATGATTGATCCATTCAAAAGAAGCTTTTTCTTAAAGGGTCTGTAACTAAGAAAAATACGAGCGAAAGTCACAAATTTATGTACCTACTTGACTCAATGACTTTAAGCACTTCCTACTAGGTAAGGCATCTTTAACATCTTGAACAAATCTTTAATTTCCATCTTTCTACTTCATACTTTAAACGCTTAAAATTCCTCCTTTAGAGATATATAGAAAAACCTCCATGTTAGTATCGCTTTCAAAAGAGCCTTATAGGTACTGTACTAAATGGGATACTGAATATGTGAACCAAAAGAATTAAAAGAAAAATGCCACCAACTACATTTAAACCTGAGCAGAGGAATATTCGTGATTTTATAGATTAAGACACCATTTATATCCAAAGACAGGATGTGCAGTATTCAAGCACACGTACAGTTTATATATAATATGCAAACATGGAAGGTGGAGGGCTGGATGGATTCTGAAAACATGTTTGGGGCTTAGATAGGGAAGAAAGCATAGCCATACCCTTGGCTTTGGACAAGAAAGATAGGCTCTAAAGGAATTTTGCCTTCTGTTTTTCTTTAGTCTACCAGCAATGAATTATCTTCTCACTGTACTGCCTCTGTAAGTCAAAATGCAAAACTTTAAAACATGCTCCAAATGTTTTGTTACAAGCAGCTGGGTTTATATATAAAGGATTCCATTGTAATAGGAAAGCTAATTTCAAAAATATGACCATTAATTCCACTTACATGATATCTAGAGTAGTCAAATTCATAGAGAAAGAAAGAAGGACAGTGGGGATGCCTGGCTGGCTCAGTCAGTAGAGCATGTGACTCAGGAGTTTAAGTCCCCCACCCTTGTTGGGTATAGAGATTACTTAAAATAAGATAAAATTGGTATTTTTTTAGGTTTACTTATTTATTTTGGGGGGGGGGGGCATGCATGAGTGAGCATGTGCAAGCGGGAGAGGGGCAGAAAGAGGGGGAGACAATCCCAAGCAGGTGCTTCTCTGTCAGCCACCCAGGCACCCCAAAAAAATCTTAAAAAAAAAAAAAAGTTAAGTGGGGCCTCTGGGTAGCTCAGTCAGATGAGCCTCCCACTCTTGACTTTGGCTCAAGTCACAATCCTAGGGTTGTGGGACCGAACCACATCTCTGATTCCGTGCTGAGCGTGGAGCCTGCTTAAGATGTTCTCTCCCTCTCTCCCTGCCCCTCTCCCCGACTGGTGCTCTCTTCTAAAATAAAAATAAAAATAAAAATAAAAATAGGGGCAACTGGGTGTCTCAGTCAGTTAAGCGTCCTGATCTCAAGGTGTGTGAGTTTGACTCTCACATCAGGCTCTGTGAGTCTTTGGGTTCTGTCTCCCTCTCTCTCTGCCCCTCCCCTGTTCACTCTTTCTCTCTCTCAAAAATAGATAAATGTTAAAAAAAAATTTTTAATAAAAATAAAAATAGAAAGAAGAAGAATGGTAGGTGCCAAAGGTTGGGGGGAGGGGATAGTGAGTTAATGATGTGTATAGTTACACTTTTGCAAGAGAAAGAGTTCTGGAGGTTGGGTGTACAACAGTGTGAATGCATTTAACACTATAGACCTGTACACTTAAAAATGGTTCAGATGGTTGGGCATCTGGGTGGCTCATTTGGTTAAGAGTCTGACTTTGGCTCGGGTCATGAGCTCACAGGTTCGTGGGTTCAAGTCCTGAGTCAGGTTCCAAGCTGTGGGGATCCTGCTTGGGATTCCCTCTCTCCTTCTCTCCACCCCTCCCCCCTCATGTGCCTTCATCTCTCTCTCTCTCTCTCAAAATAAACTTAAAAAAGATTTTTAATGGTTAAGATGGTAAATTTTATGTGATTTTACAATTAAAAAAAAAAGAATAAAATATTTTGTTTCAAAAAAAAAACGACTATGGGGGGGCTAGTAATTCAATGCCTATTATGTTCTAGCAACATAGTGATTTTTTTAATGACAGGTGCCATGAAAAACAGTATTATGATCATCATGTAAAGATGACAATTTTCTGCATTACTTAGGATCAAGGAAAATGGGACATGTAACAAGAGGAAGGAAAGTATCCAGAAGAGGGAGTATGAAATATTAACCTCTACTAGTTAATGTACAAGGTTCTAAAATTGCAGGCATAATAATTCTAGCTTATCCATGCTGGTGGGGTCGCCAACTAAAACAACGGTACAATTTCTGGGTACCATCTATCAATAGATACATCCTGTGAGACTATAAAAAGAAGGGTAACCAGAATGGTGACGGGTATGTCCTATGAAGAACAACTGAATAAACTGGAATTTTCAACTTGCAAAAGAGAAAACATGTTAGCTACTTTAAGGTTTTGAAAAGAAAGTAGTAAACACACTGGCTTATTAGCTTCCTGATCAAATTAGGCGTAGGTTCAACATAAACAACTTTATAACAGTTTGCTAATGATAGTTACTTCTTAGTCTATCAACAGCAACACTCCAGAAAGGAATTTTATGGTAAAAAGTATGGAATCTTTGTTAACAGGAATCTTGGGTTCTGGTTCTAGAACTTGAGGCAAATCACATAATTTACCTGGGTGTCAGATTTTCCTCTGCTGGAACTGATGGCCTAAATGGGTATGCCTTTATTTATTTACTTATTGCCATAAATTTTTATTTTTTTATTTCTACACCCAACATGGGGCTCAAATTCACAACCCCAAGATCAAGAGTCTAACATTCTTCTGACTGAGCCAGGCAGGTGCCCCTATGCCACAAATTTAAATAAAATTATTAAAGTTCAAAAAAAAAGTTTTTCTCAATTGCAAATAATCACCTACTCTTTTGTATGCCACACATCTTAGCTTCTATTGCTGTACCATTGATTTTCTTCACTAATCTGAGCTTCTTGATATCAATGGTCTTATACCCACATTTTTTTCTTTTCTTTTTACCACAGAGCAAGGTAAAAAGAAAACACTCAAATGTTTTTAATTTTTTGCTCTTAGGGCCAAATTTAAGAACTCTGTTGGAAACCTAGCTTTGTAAAATACTTGAGAGGATAATATCTAATCTCCTAAAAGTCTTTGAAGGCCTCATCTTTTGCCACTTAATCAAGCCACTTACAAATCTGTAGTTCCTCCAATAAAGTTGTTTCTTAACACTTGGTCATGCTTCTTGCTCCTTGACCTACACTGCTGCTTGTGTAACTCCCAGTCATATCAGATACAACCTCACCTCCTCTCAACACCTTTAATCCTTTATTGATACAATTATACAATCCACTGAATGTCTGTTTTCCCTACTAAATGTGAATTTCTTGAGGGCAGGGGTTGTCTCTCCTTCATTCAGAACACCAAGTCCAAGAAATGATGCATTTGATGAGTGAATGGACTCAGCATGTGCAAAGGTTCAGGGTGAAAGGCATCATGAGAGAGGATGTTATATGTGAGCCTTCAGCCTATCAAATATTTAATTCCCACTGCCCTTAGTGACAGGAAAATCTAGTTTTGTCCATATGAAATAACTCGTTACTTTAAACCTAAAAAAGTAAAAAGGCAAGTATTTAGTACATTTTCTTCTATCCTAGTTTTCAACAAGCAGAACTACAAAAAATGCCACGTAAACGATACTGATAGGAGTAATTAAATTTAAATTTTTCAAAATTAAATTCAAAGGCCACCCCCTCCTTTGAAGCAGAAAATATTTTTTTGAATTATGTGAAAATTATCAGAATTATCTTGCATATGTCATTTTTCACTGAAACTATAAAACCTGAGTAATGCAAATATGAATATAGTAGCGAATTTAAGGATAACTAGGCAAAAAGAAAGGTATCCATCCACAAGTGTTAAAGAGGAAAAGAAAAAATAATTTAAATAAAAGATCTATGAAAATGGGTCATTCATAAGTAACTCATTATAATGATTTATAAATAACAACTCAGTTCATTTCCTGTCTTCTAAAGATGCTTCAAAACAGTAACAGAATTACAATTTCCACTACTTGGAGATTTACCTTATTTAGGGTGGAAATGCACTTTTTTTTTTTAATTTTTTTTTTTTATTTTCAACGATTATTTATTTTTGGGACAGAGAGAGACTGAGCATGAACGGGGGAGGGGCAGAGAGAGAGAGGGAGACACAGAATCGGAAACAGGCTCCAGGCTCTGAGCCATCAGCCCAGAGCCCGACGCGGGGCTCGAACTCCCGGACCGCGAGATCGTGACCTGGCTGAAGTCGGACGCTTAACCGACTGCGCCACCCAGGCGCCCCTGGAAATGCACTTTTAATGGACTTACTCCACTATAAACTAAAAATTGAGAAGATATACTGGGATGGAAACACAACACTCGTGAGTAATACTTAAGTCTAAAGGTGTGAGAAGTTCTACTTCTAGTTGAAAACAAAGACACATTCTTCCTTCCTCGAAATATCATTACATAAATTAAATGCCAAAGCTAAACCAACTCTTCAGTGTAAAATAGCATCAACGACTAGGACAACCAGAACTGGGAGGACAACACAAAATTTCAATATAGCATAGAGGTTAAAAACAGATTTTTTGAACTGGGTTTAAATCCTGGCTCTGCCACTTACTAGTTGTATGTTCTTGAGCAAGTTACTTCCCCTCACTGAACTTCAGTTTCCTCACCTGTAAAATAGGAATAACAATACCTATCTCTCAAGATTGTTGTGAGTATCAGGTGCACAACTAACCAACAAAGAGCAGCTTTCATTACTTGTAAGTACTA